CAGAAGTTGTGAATGCCCCAACACTGGAAGTCTTTAAGAAGATGTTGGATAGCCATTTGTCTGGAACGGTATAGGGTTTCCTGCCTAAGCAGGGGTTGGAATAGAAGACCTCCAAGGTCCCTTCCAACTTTGCTATTGTATTATAAAGCCCACCCCTGAGTTAGACCTTCAGTGAACAGAGTCATTGTGTGTGTCGTTAAGCATTATTGTTTACCCAAGGCCTAGTTTGAATGTGTGGCTGGAAAGTCCTTCGTTCCTGCCGTTGAAGGGAAAGCTAGTCAAATGTAAGCTATGATTTCACAACGCACAAGCAGAGAAGATGGCGCCTTTACAAAAACATGGCTTATTAACAGCTATCTCATTTTGGATTAGTGATTTCTCGGCCTGTCACTGTAGAAAGCAACCCCACATAAACCACAAGGTACATGAGTTGGTCCTCGACTTACAACAGCCCACTTAGTGATCGTTCAGAGCTTACAACGGCAATGGGAAAAAGTGACTTCTGACCATTTTTCACAGTTATGACATTTGCGGCATCCCCCATGATCAGAATTCAAATGCCTGGCAACCGGTTCATACTTACGACATTTGCTGTGTCCGAAGATCATGTGGTCCCCTTTGGTGACCTGCTCACAAGCCAAGTCGACGGGGGAGCCTGATTCACTTAACAACCGGGTTACTAACTTCATCCACTACAGCGATTCACTTAACAACTGTGGCCAGAAAAGTCATAAAATGGGGCAAAACTCCCTGAACAAAAGCATCACTTAGCAACATGAATTCTGGCCTTCAATTGTGCTCATAGGTCAAGGAGTACTTGCACCTTAAGGCAGGAATGTCCCATAGGGTTTTTTCCAAAAGGCAACTGGACATTCTTGGTTGGTTTTTCCCCCCCTTTAACGTTTTACTTCTCATCCAAGAAGTTTCTTCAATTCTTAAAAGTATTGTTTTCAAATTAAAAAATAAATAAAGAAGTCCAACTGGCTTTTGGGGAAAAAAAACAACCTTTGGGACAACCACGACCCAGAAGACTGAGAATCTCCATAATGGTAGCATGAGACTCTTGTCAACATAAAGGGGAAGGTTCCCCTTGCACATATGTGCTAGTCGTTCCCGACTCTAGGGGGTGATGCTCATCTCCATTTCAAGGCCAAAGAGCCAGAGTTATCCGAAGACATCTCCGTCGTCATGTGGCCGGCATGACTCAACACCGAAGGCGCACGGAATGCTGTTCCCTTCCCACCAAAGGTGGTTCCTATTTTTCCACTTGCATTTTTACGTGCTTTTGAACTGCGAGGTTGACAAAAGCTGGGACAAGTTAACAGGAGCTCACCCCGTTATGTGGCGCTAAGGATGTGAACCGCCAATCTTTCTGATCGACAAGCTTAGCATCTTAGGCACTAAGCCACCGCATCCCTCCTTTTACCTTGTCAGCATATGAGTTCCTAAATCCTGCAGCCATCCCCTCAACACACCCTTTCTCTTCTGAACTGAGAAAAGCCAACACAAAATGGTTTTGAGTAGTGGGTCTCCGTTTTGTCATTTTCAGCATGGCTTTCAAAGCCAATTTATTTTAGCAGTGTTTTTTTTCTCCCCAGCAGGACTTAGATTTATTTATTCTGCCACCTCCTCTAATGTATTTATGGCCTTCCTAGCAGCTGTACTATTGGTGTTGTAATTTTGCTTTTGTTTGGTTTTCATTTCGTGAGAGATACTTTGCGCAAACAAATAAGTTACCGCAAGCTATCTTCAGTTGGCCTCTGCTTGGAAACATGTGGATAAATTAATAAAAGAACCTTTATAAATGTAAGCCCAGAAATATGATTAGAGCCAAAGCTTTAATAGACCACTAAACACTGTACCACCTCCACCAATTTTTAAATTTCAATATTTGGCTTTTATCCTTTGGCATTTGGCTGAAGTCTACAGCCCACCGGTGCCTTATCTGCCTTTGCAAAATAATAATACTGCAAATGACTACAGATGAATAGCAATGTGGTGTTGAAATAAAGCTTTAAATACAAAGTTTAAAAGAAAAGGATTAAACTTTTAGAAGCTACTACCCCATAGAGCAGGGGTCGCCAACCTTTTGGATCTCAGGGACCACTAAATTCATAATTTAAAATACCCCGCGGACCACTAATATGATCTGCCTAATGACCAGCTGGGTGGGTGTGGCTAGGTTGTCATGTGACTGGGTGGGTGTGGCCAACTTGATGTCACTCATTCGGAGGGGCGCTTCGCAGCCTCTACACGCTGCTCCCCTCCCAGGCATTCCTCGCCTGCCCGCCTGGGCTCCTTAGGGCCCCAACAGGAATCAGTTGCTAGAGCTAAGCAGCCACTGTGAGAAAGAATTGGCAAAACAGCTCAGTTCAAACTGGATCTGACCGAGAAGGAGGCTCAGCAGAAGCACCTCACTGA